AAACTTCAACTGCGTGAAACACACAGTAGTATGAAACTTCAACTGCGTGAAATACACAGCAGTATGAAAATTCGGCTGCGTGAAACACACAAACTTCACGCATGCGTGGAGTGTATGGAGTGTACGGGAGTGATTCACGCAATGGTGCGAATAGTCACGGCCTTTTTCTTTGACGAGTAAACAAAAAAGTATATTTCGTGACGAGTGCAAAAACGTTATTTACCACGAGTTATGTAAATTTATATTTGTCAACCACATCTCTAAATTGCGCCGCGCGTGTAAAATGCAGGTTTACAGGGACGTGTCACTTATGAAAAAATTCAATAGAAAACCTAGCGAATTCCCTAGAAAATTCTATTGGAATTCTATAAGAATTCTATGGGGTTTCTCTAGGATTTCTATTGTAATTCTATTGAAAAATTCGTTTTTTTGCGCTGATTCTATTAGATATTCGATAAGACAAAGTTAATAGATTTTGAATTTCTATTCGAATTTTTCTCTTGAGACTTTTTCTATTAGAAATTATCGGGCACAAATTTTCCAAGTTTTTTCCACTGGATTTCGTTTTGTTTTGCATTACAGAATGCGAGTGGAAAAAAATTCGAAAATTGATGCCCAAGCATTTTTATAGAAAAAATCTCAAGAGAAAATTTCAAACAGAAATTCGAAATCTATTGACTTTTTCTTATCGTATGTCCAATAGAATTCGCGCAAAAACAAATAGAAATCGTGTAGAAATCCCATAGAATTCCAATAGAATTTTCTAGCGAATTGGCTAGGTTTTCTATTGAATTTTTTCATGCGGGGTGCTACAAAAATATTTCGCATCTTCCATTTTTCTTCGCAAAAAAATTTTCCTACATCCTTTCGATTTCGAGATACACACAAAAATTGAACCTCCACTATTTCATTCTGCATCATCGAGTCTCTCTCTATTTTATGTGGACATTTCTTTTTACATTGCACATTTGTTTATCAGAGTGGCATTTTTATGACTCTGCTGGCACAAAAACTTCCATTTTTATGAAGGTGATATCCGCTGGATTTTTTACGACTTTTCGGTTGAAGTGATATTTGGAGATTTGGTTGGCAGAGTTGACTGTATACAGCGTTCTCATAGCTTCCATGTTTTTAGATTTGATTAAATAATTTTTTTCCTATAGGAAGGACTCTGCGAGTCGAAGAGCGATTATTCAGGACGGGAGAATGCCAATCATGTGGACCTGAATCGAGACTTTCCGGATCAATTTGATAGATCTGCCAATCAGTACATCCGGGGTGGGAATATTGTCAGTGGCAGGCAGAATGAGACCATTGCCATGATGACATGGATCAACACTATGCCCTTCGTACTCTCTGGGAATTTTCACGGAGGTGCTGTCGTCGCTAGTTATCCTTATGATTCCGGGTAATTTGATCATTTTTTTTCTCTTAGAAGTTAAAATTTGCCGAAGAAGAGTGAACGAATCATCTTAGTGCCAAGGGAATTTCCTATTCTTCCGTCTAGAACAAAAAGACCCTATTCACACAATTACAAATATTTAAAATTGAATAACAAAGTGTCCGCGATCTGTCGAAAAATGACACTTTCAGCCAATAGAATTGCACTATTCAATTATTATTTTATATAGTCAACCGATAATTTTTAATAATTCCACAAGTGGAAAGTGTAAAATAATTTGTATGACTCTGAATATTCATGATTTGTTTCAAATTTTTCTCACGCAATTTAATTGACAAATTTTATGATTGAGAATAGTTGAATCTATAGTGTGGTCTGTACCGAACCATAAAAGATGCTTGGATTTTCGTAATTATCCGAAGAGTTCGATAAGAGTGATAAACATTCGCTATATTCATTTCACTAGCTCAGAAGTGAAAGGAGAGAAATAAATTGCAGTTCAAGATCATTGTTTAATAGACATCGAAGAATCTGGGAAATGTAACGGAATCTCTGTAGAGATTTGTTTTATAGAGCAGGATGACAGCTACAAAACAGGTCTCGACGAAAATTTAGCTATTCTTCTCTAATCTCGAGATATTTTCCAGAATATAATCTTGAGTCGAATTAATTGATCTCCTTCCGAAGTATTGTTATCGATTTTAAAGGTGTAAATTGATGAATTGACACCTAAATTGATTGATTAATTGAATTGTATTTATATTTTGTGTCCTTTCTTCAGTATTTTCCAGTCATGCTGCGTTGAAAGTAAATCCCCAGATGACAACCTTTTCAAGCACCTGGCTCATATTTACGCTGATCGTCATCCAGTCATGCACATGGGCGAATCGTGTCCTCCTGATCGATTCCCTGGAGGTGTGACGAACGGAGCTTACTGGTAAACTCATTATCCTATTGATTTCTTTCCCCAATTTTCCGTCCAGGCATTAAAGTTCTATTAATTTTTTCTGATTTTTCAAGATTTTCTTTACATTTTAATCTTCTCTCTAATCTCGAAATATTCATTTTCTCATAAAACTCTGTTATTTTGGTACTTCTAAATTAATTCTAGCAGTCTAGTATTATTATCAATAATACTAGACTGCCAAGCACGAACTCAACCAGAATGTTTTTATTCATATCAACTTCCGTTTAGAATTTATTTCACATTTTCATCTTCAAAATTTAAGTTATTTTTATATTAGCTTTAAAAGAAAAGAACTCAAGTACTATGCAATAATTATGGGGGAAAATAACTTTGAGAAAAAATAACATCAACGAATTTAATTTCAAGAAAACGAATTTTCTGTTGAAGTGAATTTCAACATGGAAATTTCTATTTAAAAACATTTCATTAGTTGTAAAATGGATATGAGGCCAGAATTCTTGTTTCTTTTCTTCAATAATTCCGGCCTTGAAATTTCCTCTGAAAAAAAAAGTTGTGTTATTTTCAGTGAAATTATTTTCGTTGAAAAAAATACATTTAAAGTTATTTTTGCACAATTATTTAGCCATGAACCCCAAAGAAGTTGCTGAATAATTTCTCCTCAAATCATCTCTCATCATGACGTTTTACTCGATTATTAAATTATTCTGTCAATCCCCAGGTATGAAGTTGTGGGTGGTATGCAAGACTACAATTATGCCCGATCAAATGCCCTCGAGATAACATTTGAGGTCAGTTGCTGCAAATATCCATCGGCTGACATGATGCCTGAACATTGGAGATTGAATAAAGAGTCTCTCATTAAGTATCTGGAGCAGGCTAACATTGGATTCAAAGGTACATTCAAATATATTTCACCCTTAGATTGCCACAATACCAAAAACAAATCAATTTGCAAAGTATTCTACTCATTCTCCTAACAAATGTTACATTTTTATAACAGGATTGGTTGTGGATACTGAAGGACGTCCAATAGAAGCAGCTCAGGTTGGAGTAGATGGAATAAATCGTAACGTAACAACAACAAATCATGGAGAATACTGGCGATTACTTCTCCCTGGAGAATACGATGTGTATGCCAGTGCATGGGGGTAATTACAGTTGCAACTTTTATTTATAAAAAAAAAAATTATTCTAGGAAACCCTCAGACGGAATTTTCCGGACAAAATCTTCCGCAAAGAAATTCTGCTGAAAAAATAAATTAGTACAAAATATGAAAATAAAGAAAACATTAAAAATACAAAACTTCTATTCGAAAGCAAAAAAACTGAAGAACATAAATAAAATTACACTTTCCTTACCCTCAAATAAGACATGAATTAACGTACAGAAAGTACACAAAGAATCGGTGAAAAAGCGATCAAATGACCAACAATCTGATCTACATATACTACAATAGAAAGAGGAATAAATACACGCAACAGCAAATCGAGATGGATTTGTTTTTCAAATTCAATCAATTCATGTTTTCAATTCAATTCAATTGTTTGATATTTTTTTACTCCCAAGAGATGAATGTTTTTCAATTTTACCTAACATTAATTTTTTCTTGCGTCTATTTTCTCCTTTAGGGAAATTTGGTCCCGGAAAAAATAAGGCCAATTTACCCATGAAATTTTTTGTGACGCCCCTAGAATCTACTCCAAATGAATGAAAAAAATCGTCCTAAAATTTCAAATTTAATCTGAGTTTTAAGACACTCTCCAGAAGCGCTCTTTTTCCCCCCTAAGAATAACATAGTTTATCATCAGAAAATAGAAAATAGAGGCGATTTTTTTTCTATCATTAGTGACCAAAAATTCTCTACTTTGGAAAAATGTTCCGTTCACATAGTACACTAGAGGGAAAATTTTTGTTTTTCATATACCCGATATGGGCCTTCAGGTATAGTTGCAAGAAAAACGATGGCAATCGACTTTTAAATGTTCCTTTGGGAAAAATCATATAGGATATGTAAACAGAAAGACTTTCTCATAAATATACTACCCATACCTAACATTGCTCACTAGTTACAGAACATTTCGTCGAATAATAATAGCAAGGAAATCACCGACGGCGGTGGCTGTGTGGTTAGAGTGTGGGATTGATATACGGGAGACCCGGGTTTCATTCCCGACTGGGGGG